TCCGTGAGGGAGCAGGTAGAGAAAACTGGGGGTCAAGTAGAGCTCAGGAAGGAGGTAGGGGGAGGGTATTTTTAAGATTTGGTTTTATTTCTCATTATTCTGTTCTGATTAGATTGATAATAAATTGAACTATCTTTTCTCMGAGTCTGCTTTGCCCATGACAGGAACCAGTGAGTGATCTCTYCCCATTCTTATCTTTACCCATGAGCCTTTCATATTTTCTGCCCCATGGCCAGCTGAGGAGGGARTAACAAAAAAGGCTTTGGGGGACACTTGATATCCATCCAAGGGTAACCCACCATGATGGAGTAATAAAATGAAAAACTTCTCTGGCTCTCAGGCTCTTTCTGGGTTTCCTCTTTAAAAAATCCAGCATTTCTGAGTTCATTAGGTTTGCATTTAAATCCATTTCAAAGATTTGCATCTGGAAGATATTTTTTAAATGTCCTGTTTTACTCACGAGAAGCTATGGAGGAAAGCAGAGAAATAGGTTTGCTTTATCAGTAAGTTTTATCCGAAGTGTGACAGACAGTGTTTCTGCCCAGACTATGCATATGCATAAAAAAAAAAATTCCAGTTTTAAAAACATAGCAAAACTAACATCTACACAGGCTTGTGTTGTTGCAGCTAGCACCYATCTCAGAATAAATTAACTCTGTGCTTTAAGAATGCTTATTCCCAAATAATTCCTAATGAACATTCCTAATCTTCAGCAAATAAGAAAGCTTACTGTGCTGTTTATGATTTTCACTGCTGTGTGTCAGTGCTATTTCGTTTAATAACCTACAATCTCTTCACACTTAGCAATATACCTTGTGTAAACTACACACCACTTTCCTTCTGAAGCATCACTCTTGGTTTTTCTGCCCACACTCCCACGGCRTGGGTGGTGCATAAAACAAATACCTCTTCCTGCTGGTGCAGTTGCCACTTTTCATCTCTGGTACAATATCCATCTAATCAGACAGTGCCTGTAAATGCAACTTAAAAGAGCAGGTTGTAATTTCATTAAAGATGTATTTACTGAGCTAAAACAGCTGTTCTGGGCTGGAATGCAAAAAAAAGGCCTATGTGATTGCTACTCACTCATTTTTAAGGCAACTGAAAAATACATTTGCTGAGCTAACCTCACTCTCCCGAAGAGCTGGCACTGCTAACTTCTTCTGAATAAAAGGTTTAAACAGTTATTATAGTGTGTCATAAATTTTGACTTGTAATTGAAAATCTCTTCACTTCCTAAAAAAAAAAAGTACTTATTACTTGCTATATAATTACAGACCATGCAGCTGCTCTCCTCAGCTTCGCTAGAAAATTTGAAGACATGAAACACTGTACAAACCTTATTCAAATGTTATTAAATTGCTAGTCATAGATCTGCCACTCTCATACTGTAGGCTCTCAAATAATGTAATTTTCTTCCTGTTGCCAGGACTAAAAAGTAGATGAATGAAAAGTTGATCCAGGCCATATTGAGTTCCCCACCACAGAGGACACCATCAGCTCCCTGGAAAGAAAGTATAATCTCTATTTCTGCTGAGCAGATATCAAAGAGAAAGATACCTGAACAGGTATCTGGAAAAAAAAAAAAAAAGCATAAAGACAAATTTTATTTCATTTTCAATAGGTCCTAATGATTATGCACAGCCACAATTGTCTAAGTCACTTTAGTACAATCTCTGTGCCATTTCCTTGTGTCACTTATAATGAAAAGAAACTCTATTAATAAAACGAACCTCATATTGCAGCCAAAGGCATAGGATTGGTGACCCCACAACATCCTGTTCACCTCCAGTAGTTTGACATGAGTCAGACCTGATTAACTATTCCCCAGCCTTTGTGTGCTGGGGAGGCTGTGGTGTGAGGCTGAATTTTTGCAGCAATTAAAGTAAAATATACACCATGTGCCTCTACCTTTGATTCACAATGCATTTCAGTTTTGGGTCACTGATTCAAAGTGGTCAGCTCCTGGAAAAAGGCTTTACGTACCCCAGACTTCACACTGGATTTTGAGTCTCTCTGCTGGTGCTGTATCAACATTTAAATCAGCAAGATATTAATTTGCTCAGATCAATTTAGGCTCCAACAAGAATTGCAAGGACTGAAGAACAGAATTAATACATTATCACAGTGGTGGAAAAGAAATAGGAAAACAGTAATCATACATAAGACATACTACTGTTTTTACCTAATATTTATCATGTTTTTAATTCTTGCCCAGTCATACACAGAGGAGCTCCAAGAGATGTGTCACAGTCTGAAATCTCCAGTCAGGTCCACAGAATGTTGAACAAGTAACCTCCTTTGACCACTAATGAGATCAGCATTTTCCAGGCATTTTAAAAACTGCTACTGAAAGAATCACCTKAAGGTTTTAAATTTAAAACACAATCACAGTTGGTTTAGATCAYCAGTTCAAAACAACTGAAATTGAGAATGAAGTTTTGCACCTTTAGAATAAACTATCTATCTCTTCTCAGATTTAAAGCATTATTCATATACTCCTGGATAATTACATAGACAATTGAACAAATAGCCACATGATTTTTTTATAAAGAATCATGTCTGCAAACGTCATAATTTCTTTAGAAGTTGGGTGTTTTTTTTTCTCATTTAATCCAATTGCAGCTGGAGATGCTTACAGTCCATCAGGGACCTTTATAATTAGGACTTTAACAGCCTGAAATTATTTTCCAATTATTACTCAACACACCAGTCGGTGAAGCAATATTGTTTATTTTTTGTCGCCAGAAATCACTGTGATTACTTTTCCCTTTGCTTTCACATGGGTCACTAAAAAAACTAAAAGTAAGTAAGGTGGAAAAACAGACAAAGATTTCTTAAAGTCTATGGATCCACTATCACTGATTCATTTGCATTCACCCGGAGCAATCTTCAGAAACAAAATGCATACAAAAATTCAGTTTGTCCCACTTTACTGTCACTGAACTACACACTTTTGAAAGCTGAACTAAMAACAGACACATTTAAAAATCTGCAGTAATTGTTGAAACAGGTACCTACCATAATTGTCTTGCAATCTAGGGATAAACCCAAAATTAAATTATTGAAAAAATCAAACAGACAGATGTGCAAAGATGTTCTACAGCTAAATGTTGTTAGCTATAGAAACAGGAAACTGATATTGAAAGTTATAAGACAAATAGCTCACAGATCTGCTTAGAAGTATTTATGCATGTAGGAAGAATAATAAAAGGAAGTCCTTGAGGGCTTTATATTTCACTGTAGATGTAAATATGCTTAATACAGGAGCTCAGAAGCTGAAAGATAATTTGTCTTTTACCTCAAAAAAAACAAAATTCTCACTTCAACAAGAGAGGAACAATTTTGACATTCTCTTCTTAATTTATAAAATTGCTAGATCATAATTTTTCATTCATCCATTCATTCAGACTATACCTGGGCAAATTTATTTGCTGGCATTAAAATAACCAGAAAAAAAATAGCTTTTGTTTTAGAGGTCCAAGTTTATCTTTCTTCATTAAGTACCATGCAAGCACAGTTTGGAAATTTCCACTTTTTGGACAGTGAACAAATGCTCACACATCATGCTACATAAATGAAAAATTACTGAATAAAAAGCATACAATGCTGATTATCAGAGGCATTTGCCTCTTGAAGTGCAGATATTTGAGAAAAAGAAGGAACACAGCCATTAAAAAATATCTCATAGAAGTGCAATCAAACCAAAGACTTTTGGTTCATCATCTATTACTTCTGCTTATGAGACCTAGAAGCAGACATGATTTAAAACAACAGAAGTAGCACAAAAACAAGAATAAATCACAGAAACACAATGTATTTACTGCGGACTACTCTACAATGCATAATTAAAGAGCAAGGAAAGAGAATAATCTTCCTGACATCCAAAAGTCTTCTTTTGAAAATCATATTTTATGTATTACATTCATACACATCTGTCACTATAACTGGCAAAACAGCTATGCCACTTTTTAATTTAAATTGCAAGAAAGCTTTTCTTTTTTAAAAAAGGACATATATATATATATATATATATATATATACAAATATGCATCTAACACAGAATTTTTTTTTCTAGATTATGGGGTTTTCCATTAATATATTCAACTGATGGAAAAGATCAACTATGGTGGGGAGGAAAAAAAAAAAAAAGGTACTATTCATGTCTACTGTTAAAATTAAAACTGTGCAAAAATAGATCAGGATTCAGAAGTGCCAGAAGGATTTGTTGGGTTATGGAGACCTGGGTTCTAATTCCAGTTCCCAGAGCTATTTCCACGTTGAGATTTTTAATGAAGTAATGATTCATCATCAAAACAAGAAAGAATTCCAGAAAATGAGGACCAAATATTGCTTTGTTAGCTGAAAGGAGCCAAACTAATTTAAAACCCTTTTGCAGGAGAGACTCCCTTCCCTTGCTCACTGGAATTTTCTTCTTATTTGTTCCAGACTAAATGAATCTTTCTTGAACACAGGGGGCCTGTTCCAGATTTCAGTTCTGCTTTACACTTCTGCTAGTCTGGCTTTTTGTTTCCTCAGGAGAAAGATTTCTCTCCAAGACTTAATAGACATGAACCAAGGAGCCAGCAAAGCCCACCATGCTCTGCTTGTAATTCACCTTGCCAGAGCAACAGTGCAACTCTCCTGCCAAGTTTTCTCCCTCTTGGTATCAGCCCATCATTCTGAAGGCCACTATCACTATTACAGTCCTAAAACATCTTTACTGTCTCCAATAAATTCACCGATTACCCATGTGCTCACAGCACCTACACATCACTTTTCTTCCCTCCACAGGAATCCATTAACGGGACAATTCAGCCAGGCTGGGTTTCCCTGCACAGCTGCCTCTGGGACCAGATTTGTAGTGCCAAAAGAGCAGCAATATGGGAATAAATCTTGGTCACAATGTCAAAGAACAAACTCTTAGTAGTAGGGATGGATTCCAGCACTGTGCAACAATTGAAATCTGAAAGTGTGGGGAACGTGAATGTTGCTCTCACCTTCCTCTYGGTAAGTCTGCGTCATCTTTCTTCCACCGGACTGTGGGTGTGGGATCCCCCTGCACCTGGCACCGGAAATCCACGGCCTCCTCCTCCAGCACCACTTGGTTAATCGGTCGCCTGAGAAACGTGGGCCGCTCTTGAAAGAGACATTAAAATTCCTCAGTGAGTCAGAGGGTTGAAATGAACGCTTTTTGACTTTTCAGCATCTCATTGCTAACCCATCCATCAAACAGAAAGGAGGCTGAGCTCCACAAATTCAGACAAGTGAGACTGATGATGTGCACAAAGAGCCAGGCAGAGGGCTGGCAGGCTGGAGTGGCAGGGACTGTGCCATCCCACCCTCCAGCAGGAGCCTGTGCCAGGACCGACTGCCCACCTGCCGGACAGTGGAGAGGCCGCCAAGGCCCTGCCCTTCCCTGGGAGTGCTGTGGCTCTGCAGCGCTGCACACACGGAGCCTGAGCTGGGAGCTCCTGCTGCAGCAATAGATGAGCTGCCAGTGGAGTCAGCCTGCCTTTCCTTTTGATGCTCCAGAGGAAAATTTAAACGCCGCATTACGCACCTCAGGCAATCGTGAACTGTCATGCACAGGACAGAGCTTCCCCGATCCCCATCGCCAACTTCACCGTGGAAAACCAAATTAAGGTCTGAATAATAGCTTCTGTTTACCCTTGTTATGTTAGGCTGCACGGCTACAAATAGTATTAATAACCATAATGTTGTACAGGCCTGCTTAAAATCCAGATGCAGAGCCACAATCTGATCTCGGTTATACTGGTACAAAATCCAAGTACCGGTAATTTCATTTGAAAGGATGTCACTAGGGTTAGTTTCCAAGTTGCCTTTGGACTGCACAAATTTTGTTCTGTCCTCTCAGCCATACCGCAACTTTTATTGTCATAAATGATTTATGCTAGCCAAACCATTACAAGACTGGGTTTATATGAAACAGTATTTCCACTCAAGACAGGAATTTATCATAAAGACATTTAAAACTGGTTACACACTATGTTTCACATTTCATTCTTAGCAACTTGAGGGATATGATGTCACTTAAAAAAATTCTCAAGATTCACACGATGCAAGGAGCACCAGATTCTGACTCAGGCAGTTTGTCTTGATAACAACAGAGCTCATTTTATAGGTTTGTTATGCATGATTATTATATGCAAATAACTTTTTAAAAAACTAAAAGAACATTAATAAGGTTGCAAAATCAAGCAAATCACACTTACTGACAGAATTAAGGCCATCTGAGTGTCTTTTAATCACTTCCTTTCTGTTTATTATGCCTTATGGGACTAGTTGCAATTATATGATCACATACTATTTTTCCCCCAAACATCTCCAGATTATTGGTATTAATTTAATGAGCAGGTGTTTAATATTTTGCTTTAGTTGTACTATTTAGAGGGTGGCCACCGTCATACTACTCAAACTTCACTTCAAAGACAGAATTACTAATTTCCTCATGACCTCTGTTACACCAATCTAAATGCCTCATAATCAAAACATTTTCATACCTCTGAGGTACGATAGAGATCTTAGAAAGCAAGGTAAAAAGTATCTGCTAAATTTTGATGTTCAACCTGAGCCACGAAACTGCCATTTTTTTTTTTTTTTTGGTGGTGGGGGTGGGTAGAAATTAAGCATTAATTTTGTGTGTTCAAAGCTCAGCTTCCATTAATTCAACAGCAGACAAAAAAAGTGTTCACCACTTTCACAAATCAGAATATCACTCAGAAAATGAGGAACACAAAACCACCTGTTAGTAATTATGTAAATGAGTGACAGCATCACACAGGAATCCCATATTAGCAGGGAAACCTATTGGCAGGGGAAAACATATTTTGTCAGCAGAAGAATAGGCATGCTCAAGAATCTACAGCACTTTTTCAGATGACAGAGATAAAAACATGTCTAACGGGCAAAGATTCTTCTCTCCAAACCATTGCTTTTGTCCTATTCCTATTCCTGCCCAGTATATGCAGATTCCAGCAATGTTTGGGCAAGTAAATTAATTTCTAGCCTCTCTGTACACATTGAAATCTTGATAATTTCCCATTTCAAGTCTGTGTACAAGCCATATCCAGCTGCTGACTGCTTCCTTAATCAATTTACCTCCTTTTAGCCCAGAAATATCATTTTTCACACCTGGAACCCAGCAATTTCACAAGTCCAGTCCCCCTTCCAACTATCCATGCCTCTCCCTCCTTTGTACCACACAGTAAATAGAATCCTCTGCACTGAGTGTTTGGTCTACACTTGAACTGGAGCTCCTTTTCCCCAGGTCACCCAAATACAGCCTACGAGAAAAATCAGCTGAAGAACCCAAGCACCACCCAAGGAGAGTGACAGCAGCAGGAGCACAATGCAGTTATAGGAAAATGCTGCCCAGATCTGCATTCTGCCTGGGTTCTCTGATGTGTGAATTGATGACTATTACCTTTTTTTTAGGCAGGTGTGCATTTGRTTAAATTTAGTGAAAATTCTGTGCACAAGCCAAAACAAAGTACATCTCTGGCATAGTGCAGCTATTTCCCAACATATTTTAGGCACCCATATATGAGGCACTTGCACTTCTCAGGACAAAAAGCTTCCTCCATTCCTCGCCTTCAAATTTTTGCCCATTTCACTCCCTTTTGCCCCCATACTGCATGGACTTCAATATTCTTAGAGAAGAGTGAATTATTTTCTCAATTTAACTTTCTCAATTAAAATCAGTTTTCCAGTCAGACATGGAAAGTTTTGGATAAAGTCATTTTAATTTGACAAACTTATTAAAACTGGACAAAGTGTTTTTTAAAAAAAAAGTTTAACCTTAATACTAAGCAATGTAAATACACTTGTAATTATGTGCCTCTAGAAGCGAATAGCTTAGGGAAAATTTCTGAAATTTAAAAAAAAAAATATATTCTTTGTAACTTCTCTCCTAAGAGCTCTGACCAGCTCCTGCTCTGATTTCATACAAAATACCCTCTTCATTTCAGCATTTGTTTCTCAAGACATGATCTTAAACTAAGAAATTCAGATCCAGATCAGCATTCTAATCRGTGATTTAGAGGCCCTCGTTCATCCCCTTTGAATTTAAATGACTATGTGTATACCTGTACATAGGCTTCRTCTGCCTACAAAAATTATTTTAGACCACATTTACAAAAGCTGCATGTAAACAGCTACGAAATTAGCATGTGCATACTTATGAAATTGGTACTTGTGGCTGTAAATTCTTGTGTTCAGGAGATGAGAAAATAAATTCCTGTCTCATTTTGAGGAGAAGACAGCTGAGGAGAAAGTAAATGGCCCTGAGGTCATTAGGTAAATCACTGCATTCCATATCAAGGCAATTAGGAGAATACATCTGTTTGTTTCAGACCAGCTTCTAAAACTGTATATTTTCAAAAAAAATTAAGAAGTTGCTAGAAAGTAAATACCTATGAAATGGCACAGCCCAGTTAGCAAGGACATGCAAATACCRGCAACTGCTGGTTCCATTTTGCCATCATCTCTGCATTTTGCACAGCGTGAATCAGGAAAGAACAAGTTATCTCTCCTGTTGTTTCCTGTATTTGTATCACTCAGAAAACCCCTTGAATATGTCCAATAGCTAATTATACAGCTATAGAGTGATCAGAGTGAATGCTATTGCCAATGCAATTAACATTCTTTATGTGAGATTAACTGGATTTGAGTCACCTGCATAACTTGCTTACAATGTTAATCTCTCAGGAGACACAGCGCTGCTTGCCCAAGCATGCTAAATAAAGAAGATTTCTTTGCACAGCCAGGTCAAATTTAGTTTCAGAGCTAATCTTGGGGGAGGGAGGGGGAGCATGATTTTTGTATTTTTTCTTCTGAAATGGTTTACCCATAAATAAAGCCTTGTGGTATAATTAAATATTGTTATTCTGTCAACAGCATCTAGAGCACAATRTATTTGAGAAACAAGAAAGGGTGATAAATTAAAATCATAGACATATATAAAATTTTTAATATAGCTATTTTATAAGCTTTCACTGAGTAAATAAAGCACCCACTTCCCAGACTTTCTCTGATGAATATTAAAAATCTTTGAAGAGAACTATAAAATAGGTCATGGTTATATGTCATGTCAACCAGTCATGCTATTACTAGGGTGACCTTTCTAACTTCAGAATAAACTTTGCTGGCAGTTATAAAAGGGAATTGTTAATGTAATCTGGACACACAGCTACAATCTGTTGTAGTGCTTGAGGTATGTACTGCAAGAAAAACTACAGATCCTAGCCAGAAATAGGAAAATGCTTTCCTTGCTCTGGGTGCTGACACAAGTTAACCTCAGAACTCAATTTTTCCCATATTTAACAATTGGTCTGAGTATCACAGTCTATTAGAGAGACTCAGATGACCTTCAGATGTATTATTGCCCTTTCCCTGTTCCTCAAAAAGTTAGACAGCCATACATGGGGCCTCAATCTAATTAAAATGATCCTAACCACCTTAATATATTTTCTCTGCTGAGGCAACTGCTACAGTGAAGGATTTGATGGTCCTTATAATGTAGGGCCTCAATCTAATTTAGWATTGTTCTTGTTTTCTCTGCTGGAGAGAAGACATCATCTTTTTAAAATGTTTTTCTGTTCTAGAAGGAGTATTAAAACACAAATTAAAAGGGTTTGGGAAGGGATTTAAAAACAAAGAGTTACAAATAAAGGCCTTTTTTCACTTTAGCATTCCGATGCAGAAGGGGAAAAAAGAAACATTAGATAGCTGGAAGCAAATTTCACTTCAGAATGCTGTCAATAGCATCGATACTTCWTTAAATGCAACGTGACCTGGATGAAGAAAAGCTCTCTGCCAAAAAATAACATGTGGAAGAAGACAGGATATTACAATCCTACTAAATTTATCTRTGTTGGCCAAATAAATGAAAATAGAATTGCAAAAGCAGGTGGTTTTATATTTAAACACTTCCTTCTACTACACCTTTTGATGCCTTTCTCCCTTTTTCATTTGTGATATAAGCACTTATGTAGAAATTGCAAACTCCTACACTCTAAACAGCACCCAAGGTGTGATGAACATGCACARTAAAGGCATGGAACACCAATAAGAGGCAAATGCAGTAAAATGATTACCAATTGCTAATGTTTTTTTCCTCTGATACACATCTACAACCATGTCAATTATAGTTTTTACTGACCATTTTAGATAAACTTTGGGGACCAAATCAGACCCTTTATCAGAGCTGCATCATTATCCTGTTACAACTTCTTGGAATCTTTCGATAACAAATATTCTAAAGCTAAATCGCCTCAAGTAGACTGCAAGTGGAAAACAAAGAGATTTGAAGAAAACCAGGAGGAGCTTTGATCTGAAGGACAAAATACACACTGCTGATTTCTCCCTGTTGACCTATGAACCTGTACCTGGTTTTGGTAAATTTTTCCATGTGACTGGGAAAGCTTTCCAAGATACAATGGGACTAGACTCAGYTAAGGCCTTCCACACAGGCAGAGCTCAGGAAGTTAAAATGGAGCACAATATCATTATTAAAGGATTTTTGGGATTATTTTTGCTCTAATGACATGTCATCATAGTGTACTCTTTCTGAAACTAGGGTTTCTCTTTCAGCCTGACAATATCTACAGAACATCAAACACAAATACTCTTCAAGCATCAGACAAAAATACCTCTTCATCCCTCAGGACCTTATTAGCTGAAAAAAGGTTCAGATACCAAAGCTAAAATCAAAGATTAATCCAAAACAATCTTTAATATGTCCAAATTGACATATCTTGCAAAGGCATTTTTGTACTCTTCTTACTCATGCTTTATATTCTTTTGAGGCTCTTCTAAATTTATCTTTTTCCACTGCTTGATGGCAGCCTCTTGAAGTTGATATACTAAGGCTTTCATTGATTTCACTGAGCTTTAGAATCAATATACAAGATATACCTTTGTACATTCTCTTCAAACATACCATTTTAAGTGCAAAGGAGAATAAAAGAGTCTGAAATAGTTAAAACAACTTGAAAACTTATCTCAGAACAGCGAACCAGCATGACAAAATGATAAAGGTTATCTTAAGGAGTAATTCCCTCTTTATTTAATTTCTGGCTCCATGTTATCTATTTACAAACAAAGCTTTCTTACAAATTGGAATGAAACTGTTTCTGTTTTGCATCTTGTTTTAATTCTGTTCAGCCAAGGGCTATGAGCCCAAACACAAGCAATGCAGCCTAATTTGTATCACTTACACTTAGGAAATTGGCCTTTAGAATAGTGTGTACACAGTAATCAAGTCCCATRCTGCCTCCTTTTGTGAACATTAGGACTGAGGTTATTAACTTTCTTCAAAYTTAAGACTCTGTGACAGACCCTGACTTTCTGCTTTACTCCAAGAGTACACCTTGGAGCCTCATAAAGGCAAAAAGTAGCAGTAATGCTTGAAAAAGAAGACCAACAAAACATAGTGCACGTTTATCACTATTCAAAACATGCTTTTGGATAGCTCTGCTTATATGATCTTTATGGCATTCTACTGTGAAAGTCTGCCAGTTTTCTGCTAATACAAGAATCATGATTTGGGAACAAAGTAATGCAATCTGCATTAACACTACCAACGTACAGTTAGTAGTGCCTAAATGGTGAAAACAATGTTTCCTATGCAAATAAACTTGAAAACAAGAGTAAAAGTTCTACATGTATTATTTATAACTATCTCTCAGTAAAGGTTATTGAATGGGTACCTAGCCAAGTGGACTTATTCTGCACATGGGAAAATTTTATTTTCTCCCCTTACTGCTTTCCAAGGCTCTTATGGCCCATTTTCTTGTTTCTAAACTGAGGAAAGGTATAATCTTTCAAGCTAGGCTTCCAYGCTGTTCCCCTTGAGCCACCAGTTCCCACCACACTGACTCAGTTTTTCCAGAGGCAATGCCTCAAGCTAAATTTACTGTACAGGGAGCCAGAGATCTGTCACAAGTCACATGCAGAAGTTAACTTCAGGTATTACAGAAAAACTTGCAAAGCCAAAAGTAACAAGTAGCTGGCTCCTGGAAAGGTTTGTGAACTCATATGAAACAGCTCCTTTTCCTACATATTATGTTTACTAAGGCTCCCTTCACACTATGGAAAGGGTTTGGAGGGTTGTTATTTGGGAAAGGAATGAAGACATGACTAATCAGATAATTAATATACATTCCATTCCAGAATCAGCACCAGCTATAGGGTTGCACTCACCTAATAAAATTCTCAAAGTCTCTTAGTTAAGGTCTCTTTTTTTCTTATCATGAAGTCCATTTTCAAATATGTTCAAAACAGTTGAAGTTTGGCACATTAAAATGCATTTAAGTATTTTTGGCATATTTTTCCTCAACATTTGCAGTCCTCCCATATTCCTTGGACCTGTGACTCATATTAGAGSAAGGCTGTGGACATCCCTAACATGATCCTGGTGGTTTTGCCTGTGTTCAATGAAGCCAATTTAAACATGGAGAGCCAATCTGTTGTTTCCCAGAGTCACTGGATTTATTGTGCGTGCTTAKATTGGACTGTCCAGTAGATACATTTCTTCCTGGAAACATCATGGATAAAGCTCTCCAGTCACTGCACACATCCCTGCTCACACACAGGCTGCTGCCTGGAGCCCACGAATGGAATACAACTGCTATGCTGCTGGAAGGCACAGACAAATCCCCTCCTTTTGTATGGACAGACCAGGACTACCCTGGGCATGACTCCACGGGGAGCCCAGKGCACCAACGCAGAGCTGCAGGGCCAGGAGGCAGCCAGGAAATGGCAGAGGACAGTCAAACCTTCTTGTGAGACAGCTGATCATAACCTGAGCACCTGCCTCCTGCATGCTATCCTTGCAAAGCAAAAAAACACAGTGGGAAGGTATCTGGGAATACTCATGTAGAAGGGGAATTGTAGACAGGAAGATAACTGCAGTAGGGAATTTTAAATACAATTTTCTTTAGGTAGTCTAACACAATTATGAAGGATTAAAATATCTAATTTCATTTATTGCTGATTTTGTTCAGCATTCATCAAATAGTTTTAGATTGTATTTTGCAAGTTGATTGCTATGATTATACCCTGTAAAAAATCAGAATATTGTAATTGGCTACGTATTATTTTACATATCAAGACAAACCTAATATGTTTCATAGCTCTGCAGGATATGAAATTACATGCACATTTCAGTTTTCATTCCTACAGTTCAATGCTTTTTAACAAATTATTTTCTTAAGGATTTCTTACGGCTTTGTAGTTTAGGACTGCAATCTGCTTGCTATCCACAGGGAGTATTACCAGAGATTAGCAGTACTTAAACTGATGAAGGAGATATGTCATGTCTCTTTTGCATCTGTATAAAGCTACAACTTTAACAGATTGGATGCAAAGGGCATAATAATTTGATAGAAATCCTTTCTCTAGGTTTTTTTTCTGCAAGGTAKAATAGTTCAGTCTTTAAAAGACATATGTTTCCATGAATCCACAACAAACCAGTTGGAGTGGAAACCTTTACAGCCTTGTAAAGCTGGAAAGCAGCATATCCTCAGAAATATCTTGTCTAGCAGAAATCTTTCCTAGCCTTTTGTGAAACCCATAATATGTATTTTTTAAGTGGATAAGCAAATGTTGAATTGCACACACAGAGATGGCAAGCAGTACATGTGACTGCGCTTTCCAGTGCACCATACCAGGCAGAAGGTGAAAAAATCAGGAGCATCTGATTCACAAAGGACCTTAGGATTTCTATTAAAAGTCTCTCTGGGGTTACAAATGGTCTTGTTTGGAATTTCAGTACTGCTTCAAGGATATCAAAGAGGTGTAGCAGGAGGGAACATTAACACTATTTCTCCTTCTCTTTTGTCAGCATGGACATGTTTCCTTTAGCAGYGTGGGTTTTTTTCCCTATTGATCTTCCTTTGTTTGCTCAGAACCTCTTGACTAATTCCTACAAAACCACAGCAGTAGGAGGTACCACAGCATCATTTTATGGCTTTGCTTCTTGTCCAGTTGTTAGCAGGATGGATCCAGCTCTAGGTTTGGTTATTACTCAGTTTTTGCTCTGGGCCCTACCCATGGGCAAGTGCTCCTAACAACTAATTTCTTGCCTTGCTTATCAGGTCTAGAAGCTCTTTCATACAGAATAATTGTTCATTTTTGATTCATTCAGCAGCACCAAAACCCTAAATCATGTCCTGGCTTACAGGATTAAAAACTGTTTCAGATGCTCTAAAAAAATTAATGACAAAAGTTATCTCCAAATACTGAAAATTTTGATTTTGCAATTTTCTCCAATGGTCTTTACTGAACAAGTGAGTTTTTCTGTGCTTTCCTACAGAGGTTTGATTTCACAACCCCTTGGGAATATAAAATTATTTAAATAGGCAATCCTGGTCTAAATCTCTGGTAAGCAGGCATTATCAACTGTATTAGAAGTAGCTTAATTACATTTGGCTATTCTGTGAGAGAGAACGTTTTCCTGCATTGCTATCTCTGGTCATGCACATCACTGTGGACCTCCAATTACACTGAAACTATGTGCTTAGAAGGAAAATGTTGACTCATCACASCTCCATCATTATAAACTGCAGCTTTGAACCTTGCTTTTCTCATGAGCCCCCCAGGATAATTCAGTCTATGACATTTGTAGGGAAAAAGTAATAAAAGCAGGGGTGTCTTTACCAAAGACGGTCAGCTCTGCGGGGTCACTGTCRCGCTCCCCCACCATGTTGGTCCCAACACACGTGTACATTCCTGCATCACTTTTTCTGGTGTTGGAGATCATCAGCTTCCCACCACGGATCTGTTTCAAAACCAGGAATGTATTTTAACTTCAGATAAAGAAAATATATCAGAATAAGTGCTGCCTTCTCAGGCAACAGGTTCCACGACCAAGACATCTTGAAGTTTTCTTTGTAAGTACATGTATAGCTTTAAAACTATATACTTACATATTTAAATACTTTTAAGTTGTTCCAGAACACATTTTTATCTCACTGAATAATTTCAACTTGCAGCTAATTTCACCTACATTTCATTTTGTTCCTTTGGCTTTCATTAAATTCTTTACATTTCAAAGACTGCATTTCTTGCTGTCTCTTGGCAGCAAGAGTGCTTTTATTTCTTGCTTGGTGATATGTAAAGTACTCTTGACATCTCTTGCAAAAAAAAGGCAATTGACTTAGTTTTATTTAGTTATTTTACTGATGTCTTAACAGTTTCCTTGATCACTAATAAAGACAGATTTTCTCTTTTTGTTGAGGCAAACAGACTGAACCTGGCCCAAACTGGGAATTCACCTGACTCTTAATATTTTCTTGGCTATAAAGGGTGCTTAGAGAGTTAAAGCGCAGGGTGAAAGAAGTGAAGTAAAAATTTGCAGCTTGTGAAGTCACAGTGTCAAAGGTTAGACAATGGGGTGCTTCAGAATAAGCTGGGAATACAGCCAAAGAAACTTGAGAGTCAGGGAATGGTAGCCAGTTCCCTGCCACTCCTTGCTTTTCTACTCTTGAGTAGACCCAAGCACAGACAGCCTGGTCCACGAACAGCAACAACTTCGATTCTTTGGCTTGGAATAATTCCTTCAGCATCCAGAGCCACTAMCAAGCTTCTGATAGTACTTCCATGTTGAGTAAGGTCAGCACTGAGTCATTACATACAGCATAAAACRTTATTGAAAAAATATTAATGGTGAAAAACTAAGTATTAAAAAAATTAAGAATGTTTTTGTATCCTTAATTTATCCCATTTGCTTGCACTGACCATGATTTTTATCTCTATTCAGTTGATAAGTTAAATATTTCTGCTGGATCCTTTTTCATTCAGTACAAGAAATGAATGGTCATAGATTTCAACCAGTATTACTGATTTGCTCAACATTTATTCCTTTTCAGGAAACATAATTCTTTAGCGTATGACTTCAGCCTCCACTTAGACACATCCAAATTACTGCAATAACTATAACATTACCAATATCATTCTAAGATGCACTTTTTCTCAGGGATTATTTGTGCATTTGTGCACCTCATGGGTATGGCTGAATTTGTTTATAAAACATCTCTCTGATATTCTCAGTTTGGAGAAATGAGATGTAGAAAAGGTAAGACCAACCTGGTCAAAGACATCCACTGAGCCCCTCACCTAAATGAGCACCTTCCACGACCAAATCTCCAGTTCTAATGGATCTCCATTACACTGGTATTATAAACCAATCCTCAAAGAAGTTCAAGCTGGAGAGCCAGACTAGAAGCAATAAACAGCCTTCTCCTCTCATTTGGGAAAGCTTGGAGAGGGCAAACTGCCAGGAATAACGAYGAGTCTTTCCAGGAAAGGCTATAAAGCTGTGTAAGTTCTGCTGCACTCAGCTGTGGGCCCTGTGTCTASGGATAAAAAAACTGAGTTGTACTCACGCTGATCCGCTCCTCCCTGTCATCAATACGGACTTTATCTTTCTTCCAGTAGATGGTAGGCTCAGGGTGCCCTCGAGGTGGCTGGCACTCCAGGATTGCAGGCTCTCCAGCTGCCACCACAACATCTGTAGGGTTTTGGCGRAAGTCATCCCGTAGCACTAAAGTGAAAAATGAGGCAAAGAGGAAAAAAATTAATAGAGGTGATGAAACTGTAAGTGGAGGGRAAAAAAGTACAAACACATAATATTAAACAAACAAGTCTCAACCATTAACAGGTGATGACTTTGCATCTTATATTGACTGCAAAAGATTTCATAAATTAAGCCAGGGAGATATTCCCTTTTGTCCACTGGAGGCAGATTTCACATACATGGCCTTCATTTTCTGGTTTTTTGTTTTTTTTTTCCCCTCTCCAGATAAGAACACTGCTCTGTATTTAAGTTAGAAAGACTTGTAGAACCCCTTACACTTGTTAATCTTGACAGGGTCACTTCTCATTGTAGCAGAAGGAGCATTGCAGGTTGGATGTTGAGTTCTTTTCATAACAGAAAACAACCTGTTGAATATCTGCCTTGCCTGGGTCTCCAACKCCAGCACAAGCTGGGCAAAAAAGGGACAGAACTACCAGTGTATTGCAGACCTATACCCTGATAAAGGGCATTGCAATTATTACTGTTACTATTGCACTTCTGGCAAATACTTGCCAAGATAGTCACTAGTTTTGAAAGATGTCAGAGAAAAAAAAACAAACTATAGTAATGTACTTCTAGCATATTTATTTCTTCCTTGTGTATTTTTAGTTCTAACATTTTGGCCACTTTGACCAGCCCTGTCYCACTACATTGAAAAGAAAGGATTTAAATCACCAAGATATTTGAGACCTAAATTAGGCAACACAGGTTGGTTTCTTATGTAAATCAAGCTCCTGTAAAGGGTTAGGTCCAACTAGCTGGCTTCAGTGTGGCAGAACAATACCCACTTCATCCTAATTCTTCCCTGTGTGTCCTAGTCTCTAGGTTAATTGACATTCTTATAAACATAAAACTGAAAATAGCTCTAGATGAGCTACTGAAATAGAATTTAGGGCATTGCCCCTCCTTGAATTTCAGCTACGTGTGGCTTTCATTACAGCTTTAAAACAGCTCTCRCCCTTAATGGAACCAGGGCCCTCTGAGAAATTAGAAAACACTGTATCCTAGCGAAGGGGCAAGTCAGGAAGAGTTCAGCAGAAATTGCTCAGTCTCATTTCATAAGCAGAGATAATTTACTRCTTTCAATGTTAATAAAATGTGCCCCATTTTAACATTTGGAACTAAATATTTTTCTCTTCTCTAATAARCTGGAAGAAAAAATATGATTAATATATACAAGAATTGGCCTCTGAATAGCCTGAGGTGATTGGGCTGTATATATGTGGCACTCAAAATGAGATGGAGGCAACTTTTATTGTTCTCCATTTTGGGATACACAGGTAGATCCCAGAGGAAGGAGGGAATTAATTGGAAGTTAATTCCTTTTCTTACACGTGCACACAAAAAAAAGAGTGACAATTTAGGTCTCGTTCTTGAAGCATAAAATAAAAGTAACAGGAGGCAGCTGGCAACAAATGCAGCTCTGGCAAGAACCTGTAGTCTTCTCAGGTGACACACCCAACAGACAACAAAAAACTTAATCCCCAAAAATTTCTGAATAATACAAACCACTCATACACTTCTGATGCACAATAAGCAAGTTGGCATGGAATGCAAGTTATAGAACTTCAAGATCAAATGGAAGAAATAACTCATGCAATGCAGAGCACAGAATTAGTATGATGAAGATCATGGAGTGTTGACTATTTGGCAGTACAACACGCTGCAAAGCCAAGAAAGTCAATACCATGGGAATGTCAGGGGAAAAAAAAAAAAAAAAAAACCCAAAAAAACAACAACAACAAAAAAAAAACAAAAAACAAAAAACAAAAACCACCAGAAAAAAAGTCTTACAGAATGATGGTTTTTAGGAAAGTATCTTCGTATGTCTCTGTGATCCCCATGATACAGAGGAAGAAAAAGTACTTCTAGACAATGTTATACCCACTTTTCTATAAATGGCAAATAGATAAAAATTAACTTCTTCCATTATTGTAACAYACAAAATAAATATTATTTTTCTTGGCTCAATTCTATTTGCAATCACAGAACTTCAGTGCAAATCCATCAGTGGAAAATCCCCAGAAAATCAGCAGATCCCACCACATAATGGCTTTATATTCCTGACTCCTAACTCCTGGCAGCAATATTAGCAAAAGCATTTTCCTTGAACATTTCACACTGCTATATGAACCTGACAAACACAGTTTCTGGGAGTGATACATAGCAAATTACATTAACTTTCTCTGAATCATCCCAGCAACTGTGTAAGGTTCCAATCAATCTCAAAATATGAGGCTAAGAGGTGATTTGATTTTATCACATTCCTTTACCCAAASTCTCACTGCAAAACTGGCTTGAATAGAAGACAAAATTGATGCTAMAGGCTTTGCTTAATCTTGCTCTGTACATCAGTACATATGTGAACCTTGAATAGATATATCTCATCATTTCTATCTAAGCCATTCTGTGTTTTGGAGAAAAAAATGGTTGAAGAAAAAAGAAATAAGGGAAAAAATAAAGCAGTGACAGAAAAGCAAAAATAAGAGAAAAATGCATGAAATATAAATGAAAGCAAGTAAATAACTCTGAGAGGAAGAGGGGGAACATTAACTTTAGGGAAACTAAAAAGGAAAAGCCAGGTAAAGGAAGGGGGGAAAAAAAGGAGCAGAGAGAAAAATCAAGGTAAAAAGCAAAGGGTACAGGCTGCCATTCCTGTGAKTCAGTATTTTAATGCAATCTAACAACAATGAAATAAAGCACAGACGTTAATCTGATCAGCTCAGCCACCCCAGAACAACCAAATACCACCCCAGGAGAGAGGGAGCAGGGAAGAGGAGGACAGAGCATGAGTTGGCGAGCTTGGCTGTCCTCCTGGAGCAGCACAGGAAGCCACAGAAGGGAGGAGCATCAACTGAAGTTGAGTTCACACGTATTAGCACAGTGAACGGGAAAGTTACAGCGCAGCTTAGTGCACTCACCATATCTAATGGTACAATCATCTGTGAAAACAGAAAAATGATWGAGAGCTGCAGAATATTCCTCAGCCAATTATCCACAATTGCTGGGTACTTCCAGATAACCAATCCTGAGCAGATCATCCTCTCCACGAAGAGGCGAGAGGCTTTTGTTCACTTSAGACACCAGCCATCCTCAGGACCCTTTTGGCAGGCATTAATACTAATATTTGAAAAATTCAACACAGACAGAAAAATATTGCCACCAGCCTCCTCATTCTCATCCTGTGCTCCTGTTTTGTTTTACTCTGAYTTTAACAGAAGTTGCACAGCTCCCTTTGTGCTTGCATGGGTGTTTCCTTACATTTTTGGGTGTTGCRCTCTTTACTGTGAGAGATGCCCCATCCCTGGAAATATTAAAGGCCAGCGTGGTTGGAGCTCTGAGCAACCTGCCCACGGGGCACTGGATGATCTTTTAAGTCCTTTCCAAGCCAAACTTTTTTTGTGATTTTTGTGATTAAACAAGGGGTGCCAAAGGGAGAGATGACCCCCACCCTGCCTGTACCCCCTGGGACTGCAGCATGGCCTGACCCCCAGGGCTGCTCCCTCTGCCAGCCCGACAGCAGCACAAACATTCTCACAAACAAACATTCTCACAAACCTCCTCACAAACACCCTCACGTTTCAAAACTCAAAGCCTCGGAAGGGCGAAAGCTCATGGATGGTTAAGCCTGCTGTCTGGAAAGGCACCGTGGGACTGCAGACTTGCAGAGAGCAACTAAAGCTTACGCACAGCCCACGACAGCACTGCGGACAAAAGTTAATTAAAGTTTGATGGGTCTCTTTGTGTCTCAAACAAGCTGATGCTGCTCAAACACCAGAGACGTCTGTGAGCGATCATGGCAGT